CTCCAGTTGCCATATTCGTGTGACCAATGAACCTATTGAACTCTACTTTTAACTCCAGGCTAGTAGTTCATTTAAGAGGGTATGCTCAAAAAAATTATAAAAGTAACTTTTTCTTAAAGCATGAAATTCACATTTTCTTTCCCAGTTTCTCTTGTTGCAGAATCACACTCCAGAGCCCTGTGGTCTGAAGACTGTCGTGATCTTTTCTTGGCACGTCACACACGAGCTGGTCTTGGGTTTGCTTCATTAGTTCTGTTTTCTCCATGGTGTTTTTAGGAGCTCCTGAGAGTCACAAATCCAGACCCCTACGTAGAAAAGCATGTGGTGGTATTTGCTTTCCTCCCACAGGACTCCCCGCAGCATGGATTCTAGGGGCTCACCTGAATGGCTGGAGGAGAGGAATACAGAAGCCCACGCAAACTGACTTGACTGACTTCCTAGTCTTTGAAATTTTACGCAGAGGTTAAGTGAGTTCATAGGACTCAAGTACCAAGCAACAGTAGGTGTCATTATATGGCCATGATGTCATCATGGGTTTTCAATCAGGAAGATGTGAATGATTGAAGGGTTAGCTTTCCTTAAAGAGTGTGAGAGAGGAAATCTATAGCTTAGCATCACAGCAAGAAGATGAAAGACAATGATTTTTCATAAGTGTAATTCATTTTTTAAAAATTATTAGCTGTGAAATAAGAGGGATTTGGAGCTACATCGCCTGAGTATGAATTCTAGATTTGCCATGTCCTAGAACATGACGTTGGGTAAGTTACTTATTTGTGTCTCAGCTTCCGCCTTTGTAAAAAAATAAAGTGATGATAGTAGTATTTACCAGAAAGAGTTACTGTAAAAATTAAATGAGTCCATACTCCTTAAGTGCTTGGAAGAAGGCCTAGTATAGCGAAATCCCTCGATACATTGAAGCTATTATTATTATTAGTTTTATTATTTCTCCTACTTATCACAGATTTAAGGCAATAATTAATATAGCAATAATCTGATTTCACTGGAAAACTTCACAAAATATAAAGCTGATGATTTAGGCTGAACCTGACACTTGGAAAATGCACTATAATCCTTAATGTAGTTGTTAGCTTCACACACAACTTTGCTCAAGTTAAAATCTGTTTTGATGCAGGAGTCCTGCTGTGCAATGTTTTATATCATACTGAGGTAGATGAAGAAAAATCCCACATAGTCAAGCATAGTTGAAAGGAAAACTAATTTAAGGTAGATGATTAAGTTTCATAACATAATCCCAAATACAGAGAACTATAGGGAAAGGGTGGACAAGGTAGAAGACAGCATTTGTGTGCAAGTTCGGAGAGGAGGAGGAGAGGGGTGGGTGTGGATGAGAGAGGGGTGTCAGCTAGGTCAGCAGTTGACATCCAGAGCGGGGGAGCCAGTGGGGGGGTAAGTGCTCATGCAGGAGAGTTTTAAGCCTGCCCACTCCCCAGCTATGTCTCCTTTCTACCTCCATTAAAGAATAGTCTCTTGCAGGAGGAAAATAGAAAAAAAAATGCAAAAAGAATAGAAGTGAGATTTATTTTAATTTTTCAGAGTTCGGTTTAGCAACAGAAAGATGAGAAAATGGCAATTTTGGGCTGATTCAAATATGAGTTCCAAAGTGCCAGGAATAAAATGAAAGATGCAGAGTCTGCCAACTTAACGTCAATCTTAAGACACTGAGAACCATCTCCAAATGCCTGTGTAATTCCTACACAGGTTAGAGAGTGTTTCACTATTATTGCCCTTCTCTAACCTACACAGGTTAGAGAAGGGCAATAATAGAATCAGTTCTGCCTTTTTTTCCCAAACTATCTTTATTTGGAAGATGAGGATAATATCCACTCATAGGCAGCTATGACGAATGAGGTATACAGAAAGCTATTAACAGTGCCTAACACATAAATAGTAGCTTTTTGGGAAAAAATGACACAAAATTTCTTCTAGGCTTCTCTTCCCAATTTCCAGACCCCGGTGGAGTTTAACCTGCTATTAAATTTACAACCAAGAAAAGAACACAGATTTCTGCAATGGAAGTCCCTGTGCGAAGTCCCATCCGGCCTGAAATCACTGCCCAGTTCAAGGTTTCCCACCAACGTATACATTTTATTCATGCCTGCAGCCTTTCTCCAACCCACCCCAGGCTGCTCTTCTCCAAGAATCTGATGGCTGGAGAGAAGAATCCTTCACCTGCCCTCTCTATGGGGTTGTTTGGATGTCAGCACTCCTTCATGGCTTTAGACAAGAAAAGAAATTCTGAGATGTTCTAAATTAAATTACAGCGGCCAGAGAGTGAGAGAAAAAGACAAATCAGATAGCTTGTTAATAGCTGTGGACCAGGTAACAAAAGCCCATTCACATTCATGTATGTCCGTTGGAATTTGAGATTAACCTCCAGGTGGCCACGTCTGTGATTATAAAGAGAGAACAGCACCTTCAAATCCCAGGAGCCTCCACCTATAAATGAACTTGCCAGACTTGCCCACAGCCTACCTGAGGCAGCAGACACTTCCTCCCTGGACTCTGCGCCTGCCGCAGAACTGCCCGCTTCACCTTCTCCCACCCACCTTGTCTACATCTAATGTAAATTCTTTCAGAACTGCTCACCTCCTTAACCCCAACTCGATGTATAAAAACACTCAACAGCTCCAGGACGGCGGGCATATCTTTTCACCTAGCACTGCGGCTGAGCATCAGACATTCACTCCCAGGACCTAGTCTGTTTTGCTAGCAATGGCTTAATAAAGCCTTTTTTTTAAAAGAGAGTTTCAGCCACTGAATTTCAATTTTTTTTAACAGTTTCCTCTCCATGAATTTATGATGGATCATAAAATAAGTTTATTTTTTAATCTTGTATTACACTTACTCCACACTTAAGAAATATCATGAGAATCCATTTAGGTTTTTAATAGTATAACTTTGTTAGTATCTTTGAGCTGAAGGAGAGAAATCTCGAAAGTTCACTCTGTTGATTCCTCCTCTCATCGTGTGGCTCAGGGACTGAGAACAAACCAGTCACAAGAGCTTCTCTTCTGGACAGACCTGGAGGGCTCCACACCGGGGCGGAGTGGAGAGGCTGGGTTTCTACAGAGAACAGCACTGAATGGGTCAGAAGGAGTAGCTTGGTCCCTAGGAAAGGAGCTTGGCTAGTTGTGAGGCTAGGAACTGAGCTGCGGCTGGGCATCAGACATTCACTCCCAGGACCTAGTCTATTTTGCTACTTCATCCTCTGGCTCATGGGCAACTCTTTTTTTTTTTTTTTTCTGTAATATGAGGGGAAACTAGCTACCACTCGAATGCATGAGGACAGATCATAAGATGGCTTCGTTTCTTCACCGGAATAATAGAAAATAACTTGCAACTTATCCTTATTCTGCTTTTGCCATGTTTAAAGTGGGGGAAATTTTTCACATTTCATAATGCTGATCCATTTCAAAAGGAAATAATAGCCAGAAGACCATACAGATCAAGTATGAACATTTAAAAGATCAACCTACTTCTGTACGAAACAAACAACAAAAACCCAAACACAAAGGAGTAATCCTCAGCAGAGAAACCAGCACTTGAGCATGTGTGTCCGTCTGTCTACGGAAAGGAGTAAAAGGAAACGGCGATAACTTGCTCGAAAATTTGCAGAAAAATATTATTAAATCTTGATAATTCAAACCTCATTCAAATGGAACTCACAGAACTTCAGACCCTCCCAGTTAATATAAAGTGGAGATTACCTGCCCCAGGGATCGCCAGTCCAAACCCGCACTGCCGATGTAAACGTGCTGCTTGTCCACAATCCAGAAGGAGGACTGCAGCCGGCCCTTGTTGTAGGCGGTCATGTTCATGTAGGTCACCTCGGCTCCTAGGAGTTCAAAGAGATCCCGTCAGCCTCTGTGTCAAGGCCCTGAACTTGCAACCAGTCAGTCATCTGCCAGCAGCAATACTCATTTTCACTGATCTCAATTCAAAGAAGCCAAATATGAACATTAGTTCAGTGGACAGAAGGCCCTTGAGGAGTTACTTTGTTCTCAAAAAGAAGACTACAAAGAGAAAAAGAGAATAGAAGCTTTTTCCTACATATATGCTGATGAGAGCATGGCTTCTCAAGTCAAATCTGACTCAAATCCAGGTGGCGAGATAGGTGTACCTATCTCGTGCTCTTTTCTACTTCTTTTAGAATAATTTTCATACAATTTTGCAATCAACTAAAGGATCTGTCTTTGGTATTTAGTATTCAGTAAGAAATTGGCCACCTTATACCTTCCGCACCTTATTTTTAACTTTTACTCTTTTACGTGTCTTTACTTCTTCATTTTTCCTCTTAGTTAATTTTGATTTGGTCTCTTCTTGGCCCTTCTTTATCCAATAGTTCTTAATTTAAGCCATGATGATGTAAGCCTTAGAACTGATCTTTGAATGGTTAATGAGGTCACTCAGACCACCGTTAATTTTTTTTAAATGCATTTTAAGATCTGAATTTAACCAACTGTTCTAAATAGGGTGAGCCATAATCCGCCGTCCGCTGTTATGCATCGCTGCTTCAGGGCTATGCTCTCACAACTCTCAAAAGGAGCATACAGTCCATTGAATGCAAAGCCATTTAAATACATTTCTGCAAAAGGTCCATTGCTTTAAAATTAAAGGCCTACATGCATACATTTAATGAATTACACTATGCTGTCTTACATAGTCAGCATCACTGAAGAGGGTGTGTTCCGGTGGCCCACTTCACTGTCAGAATCTTTATTACCAGAGGAAGACGTAGTATCTTATGTATAAGGATGCATTCCAAGATATCAGGAAGGAGGAGTGATTTGCGCTACAAACTTAACCTGTAACTCTTGAGAAAATGTAAACCATGCATCTGGCTTCCTGTGGCAGGAGGATTAGAGGGAGGCTACGGGGTTGGGAGAGGATCCAAGAGGAGTGAGCATCCAGGCAGATCTTCCTCGGTGGGTGGAGCAAGTTCTTTATCCTAGAAGTGAGGAGGGACGTTCCTCAGGCTCTAGTCATCCAGAATAGATACAGCCTCCACAGGAGGGACAGTTAGGTATAGCAGAATCTCAAGCATCCTAAGTAGGTAGTTACCATGGCAATTAACATGCAGGGTGTGGTATGCCCCAGAGACCAGCTGCCAGCGCTCCCGTGAAAGGGACTCTACATTTGTCTTTGAAGACTGGATTAGTTTCCTACGGTTGCCATAACAAATACTACAAACCCGGTGGCTTAAAACAACAAACTTATTCTGTCAGTTCTGGAGATTAGAAGTCCAAAGTCAAGGTGTTGGCAAGGTCACGCTCCCCCCCGC